TGTGACAACTGTTTTTTTTCCAGACCGAGGGGGTTTTCTCTGTTGCTAGTTTTCTGAGAGTTATTGTTATGAATTGGTAGTGGATGTTGTCAAAGCTCTTTCTGTTCACATGATTCCATGAGTTTCCCTTTGTCTGTTGATACAATGGACGATATTATCTGGGTTTTTAATGTGAACCACCTTTGCGCAACTGCAGGTCTCACTGGGTCATAGCATATGGATTTTTTTTTTTCATGCTTTGTTGAATTTGAGTTCTTAACATTTGCTGAGTGGTTTTTCATCTAGGTTCATGAGTTCTTTTCTTGCAAGATCTTTGATATGGTGAGCAAGGCAATGCCAGCCTCATAGAATGAGCTAACATGTTTTCCCTCTGACTCTGTCTTCTGGAGGATCACTGATATAAATTCTTCACATATGTTTGATAGAACTTACCAGAGAATCCGTCTGGGATGCGCACTTCTTTCTGTAGAAGGCTGTTACTGATTCAACACCTCCTCCTCCTCCTCCTCCTCCTCCTCCTCCTCCTCCTCCTCCTCCTCTTCTTCTTCTATTGAACTTCTTTAATGGCTATAAACCTACCAAGATTTTCTGTTTGTTCTTGAAGAAGAGCTGATGAGTTCTAAAGAAACTTGTCCATTTTATTCAGGCTATCAAATCTGTAATCATAAAATTGATGGTGTTCTTTTATTCTCTTAATGTACATGGATTTGGAGGGATATTACATATTTCATTAAATTTCTTATTAAATATCTCATTTAATATTCATACATGCAAATAGTATGTTTGGATTCATGCACCCCCATTTCTTTCCCTTTGATTTCTCCCCAGCCCCTCTGTTTTCCCCTTCCAACTCACACTCTCTCTCTTTAGTTAACACCTGCTGTATGTCCTTAGTGATGCTCCTACGTGCACGGGGATCATCTGTTGGAGCATGGGTAGCCTCTCAGGGCCTATGACTTTGAACAAAAGTGACTCTCCCTTTCCCTATAGCCACTAGCCACCAGCCACCAGTAACTCCTCAGATGGGGTGGGACTTAGGAACTATGCCCCCATCTGTTAAGATTTTGGCTACCTTTATTTTACACATGTCTGTAATTCCAGCCCTAAGGAGGATTCATCTTTGGCTACATGGTAAGCTCAAAACCATCCTGGACATGAGGAAATGAGACCCTGTCTGGAAAAAAAATCTTCATAAGTGTTCAGTGGCTTTATTTTTCTAATCACTAGCACCTCTTCTTGGTTCTTAGAATTTCCCTCTTTTTTTTTTTTTTATCACATCTGTTCCTATGTGTTGTCTTGCCCTTCTTACTAGAGCTTTTAGTATATGAAGAACTCTTGTTTGAAGTTCCTAACTGGCAATCCCATCAATGGTGTCACACCAGCGGCAAATCTGAAACTCATTTGGTACAGGTATTATCTCTTCACTCTTCGTCTTCTGCCTTTTCATGTGTCTTAGGATGTTTTTGTTGCTGCTGAATGTCAAGAATTCTGTCCTGGGTGTAAGGAACTGAGGTCAGGTGGCTTTGGGGAGGTACTGACAAGGTGCGAAGGAAAGGAGCATTCAGCAGTGCTGAGATCAGGCGTCAGTCTTGCAAAGTCTCTGCTGTCTGTGGCACTCAGCAGGGGACATCACAAGAGCTCCTCAGTGCCCCACACCAGTCTTAAGTAGAATGAACTAACGGGAAGGGGCTGAAGTTAGATGTTTCCCTTCCCAAGGTTGGTAGTGTTCTGTTACACTCCAATTAGGCTTTCTGGAAGCTCTCTTGAAGGGAGGCCTTCTTAGGAAGGCCTGGTGGGCTTCAAAATGGTTTAGCGTCTTGCCCCCTGACAGAAGTGGGAGGAGCTTTTACTCCAATACTTGCTGTGAAGAGTTGGAAGTGGCAACTTTTCCCAGAGAACACCTCACGAAACTGTGAAGTCCCTATAACTATCCCCCTTGAGGGTTTTCGTTCTCATTACTGTCCCACAGAGCCTCCAGAGTTTGTTAGTTAAGGGTTGGCTGTTCCTGCCTGGTAATGGTTTCTGTGGAAGGTTCTACACAGCTACCGGTTAGGTTTGGGAGGGGCAACCAACAAAAATAATTATTTTCTTGAATGGGGGGGTGAGAGTAGGAAGGTAAGGTCTCGAGAGAGTTCCAGCTGTCTCCTCCTCCCGACATTCAGACCCCATGTAATTGCCTCCCTACGGGTGTGCATTGGATTGAACAAACAGAAAGGTGGCAAAGCAATGAATGGGATTTTTCATCTCTGAGATGAGGTCGGAAAAAGCCTGTAGTTTTAAATTTTGTTAGGAGGGTCTATCTGGCTTATCTTGTGACCCTGTCTTGACAGAAAGAGGAAGTCCCCTGGCAAGGACCTGAGGGAGGTCTCTGGTCACCAGCCAGTCAAGTACAGTTGACAAGAGAAACTTGATCCTTCCATCTGCCACACTTCCCCAGCTGAACCTTTTGATTGGACAGCACACCGTGGCCAACGAACCTCATTCCCAACATGCAGAAATTGTGAAATTAAATATGCATTGTAGCTAGGCATCGTGGCCCACGTCTTTAAGGGAAGTACTCAGGAGACTGAAGAGGGAGGATGTCTGTGAATCTGAGAACAGCCTGGTCTACGTGGCAAGTTCCAGGCCAGCTGAAGTAACATAGTGAGACCTTGTCTCAAAAACACAAACAAAAATGTAGAAACGAGAGTTTACCCGACTATGTGTTGGAGCCTCTTCTTATGAGGCTATAGAAATTCATCTAGAAAGCGAGGGAAAGAGAATGGGTCTAATTTCTGTCAGGAGCAACCAGGAGCTATAGGTGTCAATATTCCAGAAGGAGAAATAGATTTGGGAGGCTGAGAGAGGAACCAACAAGCATTTACTCTGCTATCATGGACTACAACCCTCTAAAAGTATAATTAATTATAGTTTTAAATGTGTTCTTTTATAAGTTGCCTTGGTCATACAAAGGCTGGAGTGCACATTAAAAAAAAAGCAGAGGACTTTCCTCCCTTCCTTGAAGAGTGTTGGTACACTCTTAATAAACTCAGCATTGGGGATGGAGACAGGGAGGTCACTAGGGCTTGCTGCCTAACCAGCCTAACCTATTAGGTGAGCTCCAGGCCCATGTGAGATCCTGCTTCCCCAAACAGAGGCAGAAAGTGCCTAAAGAACCACATCCCAAGTGTTTTCTGCCATCCACAGGCACACACACACATGTACCTGTACACACATCTGCAAGTGCATACACATGTGCACCCCCACATAAACAATCATGCACACATATCCATCAGAGGATTCCCCAAAACCAGCCCTCTGTTTGATTCAGTCTATCGGTTCCAAGTTCTTTCTTTGTGTTCGCTGCCCAGACCCTGGCCACACTGTGATGTATTACTTTGACCTACTTTGCCTTCCTGGGTCTTTGCTGTCTGCAACATTCTTAAGGAAGTGGGAAAACACCTAGGCAGATTCAGGGGAGCTTTCTTCACTATGGGGCCATACTCCAAATTAACAGCATTTCTGAATCTAAAAGTCAAATGTCAGGTCTGGAGTTGGCCCTGGTCAATATTTTACTCTGCCAAGTGTCCTGATCCCCGCTGCAGTGTCAGCAACATGCCAAGAGAACCTGCTAATTACTGTGACCACCCAAAGCACCCTTCCCACAAGTCTAGACACTTCGCAGTGGGATTTATGACACCTGCGCTCCTCACAAAGCCAGGGAGAACCAGTGCATTGTTTGAACGTCTTCCTGTCTTTCCAGGTTTGCCATATAGATGTCCAACGGCACCCCGGCTATATTTTAGATGCTCGCTTGGTAAGAGCTTCTCATTTATTAGATAGCCTTACTGCTAGAACTTTAAGTACAATGGGTCCCCAAAGACTTATAATCAGACGCTAATGTAATGATTTATAATGTAATTAAATTTTAGATGAGTTATAAGACAACAGTCTTCTAGACGCCCAGGGACAATGTGATCCCAAGTGTTTTTTTTTGTCCAACACATGTGTCACAGAGGGAGTTAAGAGAATGCCTCCTGTCGGTTCGTGCAGAATGGAAAAGGATGTCCTGATGCTTCAGATCCTGACTGGAATGCCTAGGAAGACAGCTGTGCAGCTCTGACCTGGATCTGCTGATTGCCAATGACGAGATCTCTGAAGAGCCCATTCTCACGTTTGATGGTGAAGTTATTACTCTATCTTAACTCTATGCCAGAAGGAAAACAAAATGTGCACGTGTGTCTGGAGGATAGACTGTTTTGTTGTAGTCGTTGCCACGAATTCCATTTTGAGCCCCATACTGTGCAGCTCTGTTTGAAAGGATTATTTAACTTAATGCTCAGAGAGGCCTCGTGTAGCACCCTTATCGTTCTCATTTTGCAAGCTTGGGAAAGCTCGGTGCTTATCTCAGGTTCACCAAGCCAGGGACTGTCAGGTTTCAAATGTAAACCTTGCAAACCATTCCACAGTCGCGGTAGAGTACATGGATCCAGAGAGGTTATATCCAGCAGTTATTCATTAGTGCCAAAAATTCTGCCCTGGGTCAAGAGGGACTGGGTTGGTGCCCAAGCCTGCAGGCTAGATGGATGAAAGCAATGATGGAAACATGTACAGAATAAACAAACGCATGAGGGAACTGGGTGGAGTTGTGGGTGGAAGGGGTGAGTGTGCACAGTGAGGGAGCCGGTGGGACAACGAGTGAGTGGATAGGAGAGGGAGTCCTCAGTGAGTGGATACAGGCTTGAATGGGGGAAGAGACAGTTTGAGGATGACTGGGTGAACTGGAGAGTGAATCTGAGTGCGTGGGTGAGTATGAGTACTCGCTGAATGAATGAAGTGAATGAATGAAGGTGTGGCGAGCCTGCGCTACCTGAGGTCTACGCTCCTGGCAGCCGGTGGTGGGCTGCAGAGCCGCTACTCCACACACTACGGTAGGGAGGGCTGCTCCACCCGAGTCCTCACGGGCCTCCTCCCAGCCCTCCCCCTGCTTCTCATCTCCTCCCCCTCCACCTCCTCCCAGTCCTCCTCCGCAGCCGCCAGCCTAGACCCCAGTCCCGGGCGAGCCAGCCTGGACGCTGCGCGCCGCCGCCGTCACGGGGCCGCGATGCGCAGAGGGTCCCCGCCGCCCCGGGGCCGCCGCGCCGCACCATGAAGCTCCGCAGTAAGGCGGCAGCGCTGCTTCTCCTGGCGCTGGCCGTGCTGCTGCTGGCGCTGCTGTCCTTGCGCACCCGCCGCGACCCGGAGCCCCCTGGGTTCCCCGCGCTTCCCGAGGCTGCCTCTCAGCGTCGCCACGCGCCGGTCCCCACGCGCCCTCCGGAGCCGCACGCCTTCCCCCGGGTCGCCGGCCGACGCTCCCCTAGGCGCCGGCCCCCGCGTCCGCGCCCCCGAGCCGGCCGGCCGCGCGCCGCCAGCCGCGAGAAGTTGGCGAGGTGAGTCGTGGCAGCCTGGATCCCTCCCATCTGGGGACGAGCGTCTCGCTAACCGCACCGGTGCCAAGTTCAAGGGCGGCTTGGGGCTGGATGGATGGGAGAAGCGGATTCCAAGTTTCACCCACTCTTAACCTCTTTCCACCCCGCGAGACACGCAGACCACCCTGGTGACACCCATGCCCCTCCATGAAGGAGTGTCAGGGAGAGTGGCTTGTAGATTTCGGGTCGCAAGTGTCAGGGCGAGGCGTCTGGTTGCATTCTTGCAAACATGTGCTCTTTGTTTAATTTTTCAAAAGCCATCGCCAGGCAACTGGAGCTCATTCTCTTGTTTCACGGGAGAATTCAGATCTTGATGGAGTTGGAAAAGTTGGGTGTTGAGCCAGGACTGGCTTGCGTTCTGTGCAAGCTCTGGTACCCGCGTGCTGCCCGTGGAGCGGGCGTCTGGCTCAAATTGATTAGAAAGAAGTTTTGTTCTTGGACAGAGTGGTGCGTGGCACCGGGAAGAGGCAGACTGGGGGTTTCCTGATCTCTGTTGGAGCTGCAGGACCACCAAAGGCTCCCGCTGGGAAACCATCTTAACCTTCGACCCTGCCCTCTCCCCACACGAGGCGGTCCACGCGGCTGCCTTTCATCGCAGCTTTTTTATCTTTGGTCTTGGTGTTACCGGATGCCCTCAGGTTAGGGATTCGCGTTCTTCTCCTTTGTTGTGGGGACGGTTTTGAACAGTCCCTGAGTCTTGTAGTTGGTCTGTTTCCTCTGCTCTTTCTGAGCTGCTGTTTCTAACTGCCTTGCAACGACCGCATTCGCTGGCTCCTTAATTGCTTGAAACAAGTTGAAGAATTCTTTTTTTACCATAATGACGAAGTCTGGGCGCTTTTTTTTTCTTTTAACTGTAGTTAAGAGAAACATGAAACCTTAAGAAGGAGCTGGGTCAGCTTTTCTCTACTTGCAATATAAATGCACATGGCTATGTCAGGGGAGATAGTACCCTAGCAATCTCTTAATTTTTATTACTTTTTTATTACTTTGATTGTTTATTTTGTGTGTGCATGTTGAGGGAGGCATGCGTGGAGGTCAGAAGTCCTTGTTCAGAAGTGGTTTTATCTTTCCACTCGGTATGTGCTCGAAAAGGAATTCAGGTCCTCAGGTTTGGCAGTAGGCACCTTTACCCTCGGAGGCATCTTGCCACTTCCCGTGGAAGCCCTTAAAGTTCTTAGAACCCTTCTTGAGTGCTGACAATCCACTTTTAAAAAATCAGGCTATTTTTATTGCATAGTTAGTAGGATTTTTTTTCCCCTCCAGTTTGCTGGGGTTTCTTATTTACACTAGGTTGTTTCAGAGTTAAGCTACAAGTTCATTATGATAAAAGCTGGCATCACTTAACATAAACAGTGTGAACTGCACCGTGTAAAGATAGCTATTAATAATTATACGCACACTGCAATCCATACAGTGGTCCCTTTACAGCATCATGAAAACTTGTTTTAAATGTAGGTTCTCAGACCCCAGCTAGCCCTCCAGAATCGTAAAACCTGGGAGCAGAGTCAGTAATGTGTGTTTTCTCCTCCCTCCTTTGCACGTGTACATACATGTTTGTGCATATGAAGACCAGAGTGGACATCCAGTGTCTCTCTCAATTCTCCCCATCTTTTTTATTATTTTATCTTATTTTGAGACATGGTCTTTCACGGAACCAGGAGCTTGAAGATTTGGCTGCTGGCCAACTCTAGGGAGCCTCCTGTCTCCACCTCCCCAGAGCTGCAATTACAGAAGCTGGGGATCTGAGCCCAGGTCTTCATGCTTGGGCCTGCCCGCACGTCATCAATGGAGCCATCTCCTCAGCCCTCAGCTTTGCTTTGAGGACCCTTCAGAGTGGCAGAGCTGCTCCGTGACGCGCCCATGAGTGTTATCTGAGTTTTAGAGACTCTGAATCAGAAGGGTTGTTTGTGCAGGACTTGCAGGTAAGAGTTAGACGAGGCTGAAGACCAAGGCAGCCTGTGGCTGGTGAGAACCCGCTGCCAGGCCACAGTCTTGCCTGCAGTTATCACTGCATGGAAGCTTTTCTAAAGAAGCATCATGGATTCTTGGATGTGTCTCATCCTTCAAGGTGTAAGGAACACTGGGGCAGCATCCTCTTGTCACGATCTGAACAAATTGGCTCTGACTCGCAGGAGATCATGAATAGAATCCCAATGGGCCCTAGAGAGAAGGTATATTGCCTCAGGCAACAGGATCCTGGAAACCATTTTTCTTTTGAACATATCTCCTCGATGATCACAGAAATGATGTCCAATGCCAGAGGAATAAAGAGCTAATTCACAAACTCTGAAAAGTGCGAAGAAACTGCCACCAGGCATCTCGGATTCAAATGCATAAACAGTCGGACATTTTCCGGGGGCTGCTTTCTTTCTTTTGCTGCCTCCACACCAAGGGTAACGCAAGGTTCAAAGAGAAAAGGGAGCCGGCGGGCAAGATCCCCACCGACTCCTTTATTGCTTTTTCAAACTCTGCCTGGGTGAAATTTTTGTGGTTAAGAAGGAATTTCATCTAGGGAGGGAAGAGAAAACCTTGTGGCTTAATCTTTTTACGTGGCCAGAATCCAGAGGAGATAGAGGCTGCGTGATCTCATGTCTCCTTCGTGGTGAGGGTCAGATTTGTGGTTGTAGTGAGCAGGAAACTTGAGGGTGGATGGGACCCAGCCGGCCACCTGCTGACCACTCAGTGCCCAGGCTGGCCCCCTGAGGGCCCTGCTGTAAGTGCAGTTCTGCCATGTCAGTGTGGGGGAGGAGGCCTTCGCCTTACACATCTTGTTTTCATTTTCAGCACATTTTCCATGGGCTTGCCTGGTTAGCAGGCAGACCCTACAATTTTAGAACTAGCCATTTGTATGCAATCTGTCCTGTGGTGACTTCCCATGAGGGACGGTCTGGGCTTTCAAGTCACGGATGCGATCTCAAAGTGGACATCATCCTGGAAGTAACCATCACTGTAGAGCCCAACAAGATGAAATTCGCCTTCTGTTTTGGTTTATTGGTGGTTTGTACCTGGCTGGCTTCCAAAAAGAATTTGAGGTGACTACAGTAAAAAATACATATGTGGGGCTGGGGAGATGGCTCAGAGGTTAAGAGCATTGCCTGCTCCTCCAAAGGTCTTGAGTTCAATTCCCAGCAACCACATGGTGGCTCACAACCATCTGTAATGGGATCTGGTGCCCTCTTCTGGCCTGCAGGCATACACACAGACAGAACATTGTATACATAATAAATAAATAAATATTTTAAAAAGGTACATATGCAATAAAGTCATTAAAATAGCTGTATAAGAGGGTCATGGAGGGGAGTAATAAGTACTGTTTGCTAAAAATCAAGACCACTATTACTGAAGGAGTTAAGTGCTAAATTTAGTTATAAGCTTCCTGGCAGCCAAATGAAAAAGGGAACATGGTGAGCTACCCAATCTTCAGTGAATGATAAGAACTTTGCTAAGAAATTTTTTAAAAAATGAAGCTAAATTCTAAAATAAGTGTTTTCCTTGTGAATAGATTTCAGACTTTCGAAGACTATATTTCCATTTTGCTTCAGAAAACTCTTTGAGCCTTCACATGGAAAAGGAAGTTTAATGTAGCTAGGGATCAGCAATATAAAAAAGAAATAGGGCTGAGTGTTGGGTCGCTGAGCCGAGCACTTGGCGTGCCGGTGTGAGCACCCGATTTTGGATCTGCAGAGCTCAGGTCCAGCTGCACACGGTAACTTCTATAATCCCAGCTCTTATATATTGGGATGGGAGGCCAAGAAAGGAGAATCCCCCAGAAACTTAAGGGCTAGCTAGACTGGCTTATACACCTGGTGGAAAGAGAGGACACTCCCAAGGTCATCCTTCGTCTTTTCTTCATCTATAAAGAAATGAGCAGATGATCCAAAGTTTCCTGAGATCTCTCCCAGCTCTGACGTGATGATCCTGTGATGAGCACATACACTCATCAGCAAGATTGCACCCGTCACTGTCACGTGCTGTAACTTGCGAGATCAATTCCACATTCCCTGCACCGTCTCACTGATTGCTCAGACTCAGAACCCTCCTTGAACTCTATTCTTTGTCTTCTGGGGGTAGCCTGTTTTCTCTTAAAATAGGACTTTTTTTCAGAAAAAAAAATGCTGCAGCTATTTATTTTGTGTGTGTATGTGCTTGAGCTTGTCACATTGTGCACGTGCAGGGGTCAGAGGTCAGAGGACAGCTTGTAGTAGCTGGTTCTCTCCTTCCACCATGAACTCAAGCTGTCGGGTTCAGTGGCAAGCTCCTTGCTGGCTGACTCTCTTGCCAGCTCCTAAAATGTGGTTTCTGAAAAGGACTTGGGCTCCCTCCTGGTCCCGTGATATGCCTCTGTCAATATACTCCACAGTTGTTGGGCAAATGTTTCTGGCACACAGACCACTAGGCACTTGCTGTGCAGGGGAGAATGGAGTCTCTGCCCTCCTGGGATTTGAAGGGAGAGGAGACAATGGAGAAGCTGCTGGTTGCACTTGGCCACCTCCCCAGCCACCCCAGTGAAAGGAAACACATCCTTGCTCCTCACCAGTTTCCTGCGGTTCCCTTTGATCTTCGAGATGAGTCTAGTCAGAGGGTTCGTGCCTGAACAAAGGTCTCAATAAACAGGGATGATGTCATGTAGCAGAATCTATCTGTCGCCCTCTCAGAATTAGATGCTGGCCTTAGAGGACAGTCATGACCTCAAGGATTTGAGCAACATGTATGATGTTATGTAGCTTGCGTCTTGATTCTCTTCCCAGCTCATTTTCTAATCATTTGTAAGCACATGCGAGTGTGTGTGTGTGTGTGTGTGTGTGTGTATTTGTGTGCATGTGGTCTAGAGCACACGTGTTAGATAGCTCAAGGACAACTTTCCAGACTGGTATTTCCTCCTACCATGTGGGTCTCAGGAATTGAACTCCATTTGTCCAGCTTGGTTGCAAGTGCCTTTGCCGAATGTGACATCTTGTGGA